AAAAAAGCAACATTTGTACAGGAGTTATCGGTCGATCGCGTTGTAATTACAGGTCTGGTTTGTCAGTCGTGAGTGAAACAACTCCTCACACAAACGGAACTAAACGGAGAACGAAGCCGCATCGAAAAGTTTACGCCGGAGTAAAAACACAACATTAAAAAATCATGAAGTAAGCCTTGTGAACGAGATGCATGCAAAGAGGTGCAGGGAGGTACAAACTGTACACCTTACTGAGCTAGAGTGCCAAGACGCAGTAGTATTGCTTCTTCTCCCCCCATTATAGTAAGTTAGCTTCCAGTAACAGATGGAGTTAGGTCACAGACACGTAATATACAAGAGGAATCTCATCCTGCTACACTTCACTTGACAACGAGTCTAGAGGAAAAACACGGGGCTCAGCAGAAGCCTTCCCTGCTCGGGCCAGCAGTCACAGCAAGCTCCAGCTCCGTGCAGGAGGCTTCGGCGATGGAAAAACGCTTTGTTCATCACCTCCCACAGCAGCTCCTGGACGCGAGGAGCTGTTAGGAAGCGGTTCTGCCTGACCCCGCCAGCGGTAACATGCAAACCAAACGACACAGTGGGGTCTCAATGCCAGCAGCATGTCTGAGCCCGATGCTCAGGACGGAGGTGCGTTAACAAAGCTGTTCCTGCTCCTGTCACTGGGCTTACACACACCGGCTCGCTTTCCTCCAGCCAACCCTGCTGGCAGTGATGGCCTTCACCTCCTCTCAGGCCAGGGCTGCAGCTCGGAGGGAGGATCTTTTTGGAAGCAAGCCCCTATAAACAACAGTGTTTCACTGAACACGCAGGCATTGTAAATTCACGACAGACTGGAGTTTATTTCAGTGTTACCTGTCCAGGTGCTTACAGTTAATGCTTCCTAAAACTATAATAAAGCTGTGGTGTTTGGTATGAGTTATTTCAGAAAATGGCACTGTCCCTACGTCAGCAGTGCCAAAAGAAGAGGAGATGAAGAGCTGCAGTTGCACTCCCCCAGCTCACCCCAAACGCTCACCTTGACGGCTGCAGCACCGACACAGATCTCAGCGAGCTGCAGAAGGCAAAGCTCTGCTTTGGAACATTAAAACACATTTGCTCTCAATTAGAAGCCCTCCCATTAAAAAAAAAAAGAAAAAGAAAAAGAAAGGCTTTGAGGAATCAGAGGGAGATTCTCCAGAAAACTGTCACAGAAACACTTTAGCTCCTCACTGGTGCCTGTTTGCTCATTAAAGTCAATCGAGTGTCCCTTTATTTGCAATCATCACATGCACAACTGGGTTCCATTCGTCAAGTCCAGACATGTAAATGTGCCTGTGTGGGATATTACAGCAGGTTTCAAAGCTGGAGGCGCTCGTCTGTACTGTTTAATAGTCACAAACAAGGCAAGGTAAGATAAAACACCTGCTAAAGCAAGACTATGCTAAGGTACTGAGAGCGTAGGTGACATCCGTTTCTTTCCCTGGGGTGCGTGTGGGGAAGAGTGGGGGTGATGGCCAAGGGTAAACCGAAATCCTAGGCTAGAAGCCACCTGCGTGTCCTAGATGGAAGATTGCACTCCGAAAGTCTCCTGAGAGGCATACACCATGTACAGGAAGCCGTCCTCGTCCTTCTCGCTCTCGTACACCTCGGAGATGGGTGTGGAGACGCTCACCATGCTGTGGCCGTTCACCAGGAGGAAGAAGGCCTGGTTGGAGTTCAGCTGCAGGCGTCGCCTGTGAGAAGTCAGGAAGCAGGGGAGGAGGTTCACAGGGATGGCAATGCAAACAAAGGCTTTGGGATGGGGGGTAAAACAAAGCCCTCCACCAGTGACAGCGGTGGGACGTCTGCACCCGGAGCGGCCCTGCCTTACAGAAGGCATTTGGTTCTCGCCCTATAGCTGTATGAAATTCATCATCTGCAGATGCTCTCAGACACATCCGCTGGCAGGAACCCCCGTTTCACAGGAACAGCACAGGCTGCACTCCCAAAGAGCGTTAAACTGAAGTGAACAGGATGAGATGTTCCCTGTGTCATGGTTCTATGGACACCCTGCCAGGATGACGCTGGGGCAGCAGATCATCCCATACAACCTGCAAACAATGAAGACCCACAGAACCTCTGGCTTGCTGCTGAGCTCCACAGCACCTCACTGGAAAGGTAAACCTGGGGAAGAAGGACGACACAGCTTCCACCTGAGGGCTCCGTGCCTATTAAACTCACTTTGACACCAGCACTGTCACAGCCCGTGTTGAACCTTTCATCTCTCCTCCCATGAGAAGCACCACGGGAAGACAGAGAGCAACAGGATTTCCAGACTGCGTAGCACAACGAACACCTCCCCTGGGTGTGTTCCCTGCATCACATTTTTGTCTGAGCCAGGAAAATACATATTGCTGCTCAACTCCCTCCTGAAAGCAGGTCTGCAGGGAAGAGCTAACTAACCAATTGGGCAAGGAGGAACACAGATAAGAGGAGGTGCAAACGAGGAGAGAAGAACAACGGATTAGAAAGGCTTCCCTGCCACTTCTGCTCTCTGCTGAGCTGGAAACAAGCATTTCCTCAGCCTCAGCCACAGCCTGGGAAGGGCCCTCCTACAGTGAGCACTAACGGCTCCAGGGTGAGCCAGCAGGGAAGGCAGCAGCCCTGTGAGGTTGGGCAGGAGCAGCCTGCACTGCACACCGGTCCTGCTGTGCACAAGAGGAGCTGGCTGAGGACCAAGCCCAGCCAGTACTAAGTCATCTATTAAACAAAAGAGATGGGGAAAATCCTGCATCTTGCTGTTAAACTTCTTGCCTGAGGCCTTCATTAGAAATTCTAGCTCACCTGGGGAATCAGGTTCTCACTTCCAGAAACCTTACCTCACCTCCTTAGCCATGCCAAAGCTGGGACTTGCTCAAGGCTTTTATCAAAGCCTCCGGGGCACAGAGTTGTTTGGACACGTGGGACAATACCCAGCTTTTACAGCTCCTGTCCTCCAAGAACCAGCTCCCTGTTACACCACGACTGCAGCAGAACTGCTGGGTCACAGCCTGAACCTTGGCTGAGCACCAGGTGAGGAGGTGTAGCTAACCCAGGGGGCTCAGCTGCAAGCCATGCAACTGAGTGGCCAGAAGGGGATCCAGCCCTCCTCACCCTCATTTAAGGGCTAGCAGCCGAGGAAGCAGCATTTCTCTGCACAGAGACTGCACTCTTCTTGAGCTGCCATTGGAAGGGGTGAGTCAATTTTCCTTTTTTTTTAACCTGCTGTTGTTCTGTACTGCCTGTGTCCCATTAGAGGGCACTGTCACAGCCTTCTGCTGCCATACAGCGACCAACAAAAAACAAATTCTGGTTTGCTGGTAGCCTCCAAGTTCACTGCTTGAGAGCTCTTACTAATCAAGTATTCCTACTTGACGTTGCGCCAAGAGAACTGCGCTTTGAGCAGAAGCTCTGACTGCAGTTTAAAGCCACACAATTCCCATTTCATGGTTATTGCCAAGGTTATTGCCCCTTGGCCTTTTCTAATAAGCAAAGCTCAAGCACCAACAAGGAGCAACACTCAAACCACAGCCTGTGCAGACAGCTGTGTCAAGGCAGCACTCATCTGAACGTATGTTTTTTAGGCCTCTGTGCTGTCAGTGAGGGTAACCTCATTTCATGATCAAAGGATGCCAGTGTCAACCCCAAGCAGCAGCTTGGAGCTCTGACTAGGAGCTCCAGCTCCCCCTCCAGCAATGGGAGGAGGCAGGCACTGCAGAGAGGGACTGCCAGGCAGAACACTGAGAAGGCATCCCAAAATAGGCAGGCAGGAAGCACTGTGGCCCTGGGCCAGAAGCACCCATGTCAGACAGGGATTCTCAGCCCGACTCCATTCTTGGCACCTGGGAAATGGTCATTTCTCTCAAAAGCAAACTGAGAGCTCAGCCCTTAGCAAAGGTCCTTTCCAGCAGAGCCAAAGGAAAAGTGCCTTCTTGTGACTCCATCCTAGTGATGATAGAAGCACTTGTTGGATGCCTTTTCCATCTAAGGGGTTCCCAGAGCTGTGCACTGGGTGGGCTGTACCCAGGGCTGTGTGGAATCACAGCATACTACCTGATGATTTTGATGAGCTCGCTCATGTTGACGTGATCTGGCACCAGGAATTTGGTCTTATCCAAAACAGGAAGCTGCTTCTCCCCCTTGTACCTTTCAATGATCACCTAGAGAGAAACAAAAGAAAGCAGCAGAAGATGTGAAAGGCAGAAACCTAGAGCCCTCACCCCCTCCATTTTAAACACAGCAAAGTAGGAGGATTCACCCTAAGCTCCATTTCACTTCATTTGTAAGTGGAAGTCTGGTTTGTAAATGTCACATCTGCATTATAATCACCATCACCTGCCTCTTCTGTTTGCAAGAGTCCCTGTAAGATGGGGGAACAAACAGGTTTAGCAGCACACACTTGCAACTTAAAATGGTTTTCACTGGGCTCCTTTAATCTAGCTCTGAACCACCCAGCAACAAGGAAACCAGGGAAAGGTACAGCAGGCTTCTCTCTAACACACTGCGTTGGCTGCTATGGAAGTCTGCAGCCTCACACAGCTCTCACCACAGTTTCTCCAGCTTCTCCTGACTATCGGGCTGTCTCTAAGAACTACAGCTCTGGATTAGCATGCTGCTCTGCTCTCCTGCCGTGGTTTCTCTCATGCATAAGAAAAGGTGACTTTTGAAGGATCTAAAGCCTTGAAGCAGAGAATTTCCTCCTTAATCTCAAGAGGGCATGCCTAGGAACCAGTAATTCCATCAAGGTTGTTATGTAGTAAAGACTTAACTCGGGAGGAAACTGTAGGTTTGCCAATTTAAGCAGCACTCTGCCCAGCAACTGCATGTAGTTCCTGCTTTTAAGGAATGATCTCAGAATTTGTGTACCAGTTTCCACAGCCACACAGGCTTTGTTGTTTTTAAAACCAATGGTAGCTACGTGACACCACTGACTTGGAAGGGACTTGGATCGTGTCCACGCTCACGGGGCCTGGCTGTGTTGATATTCAGAAGCTGCACAGGTGAAGGGATATGAAGCCAATTTAATTACATCAGAGAGAAACTTTCTTACATCAGTAGATAAATCAATACACGCTGGGTAAATTCTGTGGAGGGGGGGGAAAAAAATGCACTGTTTTTAGTGAGGTAGACTGTAAGCAATGGATAATTTTGCCAACAGCAAAATGGAGGATGGCAACCATACAGGAGCGATGCACCATCAGCATGACATCGCCATCTCAACTCATCCAGAACTGCTAATGATGATAATGAGGCAATGACTCAAGCTAGAACGTGGTCTGGCAAGCAGAGCAAGCCCCCAGGGAGCCCGTGCATGCCTGTGCTGTCATTGCCAGTCTGTATCACTGCATCTCCAACGAGTTGCTCAGGTACCTCTGAATTTTCCCCAGTAATATCTCCACGGCCGACTTAAAATGAGAGCTTTGCTGTAAATCAGTGGTTTTCAATCTGTGGTCGCAGAGCTCGGGGACTACTGCTAAGTGATCTGTGAAAGGTGGATGAAAAAGCAATCTTCTGTGAGGGGAAAAGATTTGTTATGAAAGGGCCTTCTGGGAAAAGTGCAGATTCCAGATAAGTCCAAAAATTGCAGCTATAAAGTATGACTTGTTCCCACGCCAAGCAGCATGCTAAAACAGCAGCTTCAAGAAGAGGTAGCTTGATGCTAAAGTGAAGCTGGAAGCCTTTCAGTTTATTTCACACGGAGACAGCAACTGTTTCTGCTCAAAAGCTTGCACCACAACTGCTGCTTGCAGGCAGTCTGTTCTCTCTGAGAGCAAATTCTTCTGTGGCCATCAGCACTCATCGCTGAGAACCAAAGTAATGGCACCTGATTAACTTCTCATCTCTGCAAAACTTCCCACTTCCACTCATCCATGTCTATGAACGCCTGAAGGGAGGAGGCAGAGGATGGAGTCAGCTCTTTTCAGTGGTTTCCAGTGCTGGGATGAGAGGCAGTGGGCACAAATCAGAGCACAGGAGGTTCCCTCTGACCACCAGCAGCACTGTGCCGTGCAGGTGACTGAGCACAGGCACACACTGCAACATTCCCCACAGGAATCTTCTATAACCACCTGGATATGGTGTGGGCACGCTGCTCTGCGTGTCCCTGCTGGAGCAAGGCCTGGGCTTGACGGCCTCCAGAGGTCCCAGCCAACCTCAACCATTCTGGGATTCCGCATTCCCCACCTTTTGCTTCCTAGAATGCTTTATTTGCATTGAGGATGCCATTAAAAAAAAAGAAGTTTAAGCAGCATTTGGAGCTGACTTGATAAAGGCAAGTGGAAAAAGGAGGGCTGATCTCCTCTTTGAAGTGACCCAATGCTAGATGGAAGGATTTGACACCAAGCAGCATTCCTGGAGATCTCAGAGCCACAAGCCATTTCTCTGCAGACAAGGGTTTTCTGTCCTTCTCAGCACAGATTTGTGATGAAAGCCACATCTGTCTCCAAACTACTGTGCTTTCTCCTTGATTAGCCTCTGTGGATTCTTCTTTCAGGGAAGAAAAGTCAGTCCATTTTGAGATGAGAAGAGCTGAACGCTCTGGGGACTCTCAAAGCTCAGCCGGGGTGCGGCTCTCAAACTGCAACAGACAGCACAGGAAGCTCTGCTTCCCCTGCCCCCAGCCAGCACCTTGCTGTGGCAGCTGCCTGCAAAATGCAGAATGCTTCTGCAATCCAGGCTTAGTGACCCTGAAGGGCCAAAGTGTAATTTGGGCACACGAGGACAGCTCTCTTACAGGTTTTAATAACAAACATAAGCAGAAATTGGGGTGATAGGAATAAGACTCACCGGTATTTTAGTTGGATGCTGATCTCGGATCAGTCGTACATCTTCAACTCTTTGCTCTGCAAGAGATTAAAAGAACTGCTGTTCAGACATCTGCCTTCAACGCTGGGGTAACTTCATTTCCCCCGTGCTGAAGGGAGGACCTTCAGGTTGGTGAAAGCCACAGAAGTACATTCAGGCAAAGCTGTTTTTAACTGAAAAGCAAGAAGTCTCCTCTGACAGGTGGTACTTGGCTCTTTAGCCCCAGGTGACAACTACTGCACACACACACACACACACACTGGCTGGGGCTCCTAGGAAATGTAAAGGGAGATGAACCCCGTGGCCACCTCATCTGCCCACTGCAATAGACATCTCAAAAACACATAGCACCAAATTACAACGCCCAAGCTACAAACCAAGGCTGAACACCCTGTGTTATTTCTGCGAGATCCCTGAAAAGGAAGTTGCCAACAATTAAAATGTGAGTCCTAAGCTCAGCTGAGGCCCAGCAGCATCAGCTTACACTGTACATTCTTGTATTACCCAGTTACAGTTTTCTATTTTGATTCTGCTGCACGCATTGTTGCGGAAGCAGTTGGGAGATTGTGGTACTTAGATATTTCACTGCTATCTGTGCCAGTTTTTAGGATAAAGTTCACCTCTCCTCAGACATAAATATTAATAGTACAGATGTTATGAGCCAGGCTAAAGTGCAACCTAGAGCCAAAGTAAACAGCCACGGCTGCTTTTAGATGTGCTTGCATCTGCTCCTACCCTGCCTCCTGGCAGGCTCAGTGGACTCAATTTTAACCTCTATGGCTCTTCTCAGTGTGCTGGGGCTTTCCAGGCCGTCCTCGTCTCGTAAACACTTCTGAGGGTGAAGACTGAGTGTTGCATCACAGCTGCATCACTGACCACAGCTTCAGCAGGCACTGAGCTGGGGAGAGGTGCTGCTGGTGGCAGAAGAGCTTAGATCAGCACTGTCGGCTCCTTGCTGGCATGCTAATGCACAACACGCACTACCTGTCCATCACTGAGCAACATCACTCAGCTCTCCATTAACCCACATTAAGCTCACGTGCAATCAAACACATCCGTGTGCCTTTTGTGAGCCCAACCAGGAAATGCAGCTCACGTGAATCACAGCTTTAAGCTGGATGTGAATCAAGCAGAGAACTAAGGCAGCTAATATGCAAAGCCTTCAGCAGGCTGCTGGGCTGGGAACCTGCAAGGCCTAAGCCGCATTCTCTTAAGTTGTTTACAACTTAAGAGGTGCTGGAACAGCTGCCCAGAGAGGCTGTGATGCCCCGTCCATCCCTGGAGGTGTTCAAGGCCAGGCTGGATGAGGCCCTGGGCTGCTGTTAATTGGGGAGGCTGGCAGCCCTGCACGCAGGGGGGGTTGGAGCTTTGTGATCCTTGAGGTCCCTTCCAACCCTGGCCGTTCCGCGATTCTCCACAGAGCAGCACGAATACTCCAAGAGCAGCGACGGTACCGAATTAAAACGCTCCTTTAAGGTTTCAACCACCAGCAACGCCAGGCGCACAGGGGGCGGGTTGGCTCCGTTCCCCAAGCGGGGCGGGTCGGACGGCGGCACCGCCATTCAGCACAGCCCCCCGCCGTGTGGGAAACACAAACCTGCTCGGCGCCGGGCGCGGCTCAGCACCGCTCTCTGACGGCACCGGTGGCAGCGGCAGCTGCTTGGCTGCCATCCTGGCCGAACTGAATTCCTGCTGACAGGCGGCGCGTTCGGAAGGGCCTTGAGAGAAGGGCCCAACGGGGCGGGCAGAGCCGCGTCTCCCTCCGCAGCCGCCGGCGTCGGGGCGGCCTCAGCGCTCGGCAAGGCCCGACGTCCTTCCATCCCCCCACACCACACACCCAGCCGCGGCGCCGAGGCCCGGCAGTCGCCGCGTTCCCCCCGCCCCACACACACATGCGAAGCTCACCGAAGGTGCGGCGCTGCTTGAAGCTCTTTTCCGAGGGCATGGCGGCGGCTCGGCCTCAGGCCCGGCGGACGCTGTGCGCGGCGCTGCGCCCAACCCCGAGTGGCGGCGTCCGCCCCCCCGCGGCCACCCCCAGCCGCGGCGCCATCAGCTGACGCGCGCGTCACGGCGGGGCGGGCGCTGCGCCGCCGCCATCTTGAGTGTGGCGCAGCTCTGGTGTTTCTCCGTGAGGCGGAGCCGTGACCGCTGCGGGGTGCCCCGCTATGGTTCTCCACGCAGCTCTGATTCCCACTCTATTTCTTCCTGGGGCACTGCTGTTGTTGTTCCAGAGTGCCCCGCCGTGGTTCTCCTCAGGGACGCAGCCTATGCAGTCTCGGAGCGCTCCGCCATGTTCCTCCTCAGGGTCGCCCCGCCGTGTCCCCTGCGGGCAGCGCGCTGCCACCTCACAGGCAGTTCGGCTCCCAGCGCTGGGGGATTTTCCTGGCAGCTCCCACCATTCAAAAAAACAAACAAAAACACAAAAACGCAAAGCAGAGGGACATAGAATCAGAGAATGGCCAGGGTTGGAAGGGACCTCAAGGATCACGAAGCTCCAACCCCCCTGCCTCAGGCAGGGCCACCAACCTCCACACTTCATAGCAGCCCAGGCTGCCCAGGGCCCCATCCAACCTGGCCTTGAACACCTCCAGGGATGGACGGGGCATCACAGCCTCTCTGGGCAGCTGTTCCAGCACCTCACGGCTCTCATAGCAAAGAACTTCCCCCTGACATCCAACCTCAATCTTCCCTCTCTCAACTTCAAACCATTTCCCCTTGTCTTGCTGTTATCTGCCCTTTCAAAGAGTTGAAACGTGCAGACATTCAGTGCTTTGCTCTCTCCCCATCCTCAGCGTCTTTCTGTCACCCCACCACCACCTCTCTTGCCGCTGGGCTCTGCGCACAGTTACAGGCGTAGTGCTTTGCTAAACAGGGTTTGGAAGGCATTGCAAAGTCGGTGTAAAAACCCCAGAGCAAAATTTTCGAGGCAGGTGTTTCACTTCGCTTGGCTTTCAGTCCCGCTGCCCCGTCACGTGCTGTTTGTCAGGCATCGATTCGATTGCAAACAGTGCTCGTCTCCAGCCAAGTTTACTCACATCCATCCTGCAGACATTCTGTCTCGATTAGAAATGCCCAACTGTTCCCTCCCTCAGCAGCTTTCTGACACAAGCTGTTGGCTGTAGACTTTCAGCTGCCTCCCTTTTCCCCTTCCCTCACATATGTTCGAGGTGCTGTGTTTCGAAATACAGGAGTGATTTTGCAGCAATAGGACTGCGTGGTCTCGCTGCACGACCCAGCTTGTGCTGCTGAAGGGTGTTGCAGCCAGCAGTGTCCTCATCAAACCAGCCTACAGGGAGGAGAACCGTTTTCCCACCTGCTTAGAGCTGGTCAGGCTTTCTACAGCTGCCAAGCTGTGACAATACACTGAAGTTACAGTGGCGTGCTCTTAGTCTGGAATGAGGGTTCATTACCTAATGTTATGATTCAGGGTCAAGCGTTTCCGGTGTCAAGCTAATTATAGGATGGGATCATTAAGGATGTGACTAATTAGGGGGGAAAAAAACAGCCCTGAGGTGTGTGAGTGCTCACCCTGGTGTCCAGAGACAGCAGGTGATGGGTGATGATCAAGAATCTGATGCGGCTAAAGCTAACCATCCCAAGCTTCTCTTTCAACTTGATTTTATTCTTCCTTACCGCCTTTAAAAAAAGCCATTCTCTTGCTGAGGACGTCCTGCCATGCTCTGGGCTGTCCCATCTCACAGGATGCTGCACTCTGTGACTGCAGGCAGGCAGACAAGCACTGATGAGACCACTTGTTGGTTTTGCTGAGTGCCCAGGTGAGTTTGAACAATACTGAGCACTACGCGTCGTGCAGTTTTCCTGCATGCTACCAACTGTTAGTAGGGCTGCAGCTCAGTCTGAAAACATCCATATGGTGCTTAGGGAGAGCCACAATCAGAGTATCTGCTGACAGGCTGGGCTATCACATGTTCAGCTCATGAATAATCTGCAGAGACTGTGAGAAGGAAAACTTAGATCCGCGCTGTGACTCGCTTGACCTTTCCCTCTTCATCTCAGCCTGTGTCTGCATTTCAACAGCACAGACAGTTGGCAAGTGTGGATTTGAGAGAGGTGTTAGGCGCAGTTGGAATGACAGCATGGACGTGGCCTTTGGGACCAGTGCTGCCGAAGCACAGTTTTACAATGAGAAAATGTTGCTTTTGAGCTGCGGTTGCCTCAGATATGGTGACTGCACTGGAACAGAGCCCTTGGAAAATGTAGCTCACAGAGCGTTTTCATGATGGTCTTAGAACATTTTACAAAGCACTTAGTCCGAAGAGGAGAAGACGTAACTGAAAGCAGGCATTATTTAGTCTTCACATATGCACAAGGTTGCTGCAGAGCGGAAGGGCATTAGGTGTTCTCTGCATGCAGTGAGTCTCGGACATGAAGTAATGAGCTTATGGCTTGGAAAAGGCGATACAAGTGGTGCAGGGGGTTAGGGGTGAGGATAGTGGAGCATCAGGACGAATTGCCTAGGAAAGCAGTGGGATGGTCAGCATCAGACATTCGAAAAGAAAAAAGGAATTAGTAAAACGTGTATTGAAGAGCTTAGGGAGAATCGATCTCATCTTGGGGAGGAGGAGGGAGTAAATGGTCTCTTACAGTACCTGTCAGTGCTGTTTTCTCATGAAGACCGAGATGTGATTTGCCTGCTTACAAAGCAGGTCAGAACATAAGGTGGGATGAACCCTAGCTCTGATCCTCCTCTCTGTGCCCTATCCAGCAGGTTACACTACATTTTCAGTCTGAATTAAAGATGTCAGCGTTTCCCAACTGTTATCTCCTCCAGCAGGCTGTTGGCTTTTTCTCTTTGCTTATTTGTTTGTTTTGTTTTTCTTCTTCTTCTTCTTTTCCCCTGTTGCTACAAACCCTGTAAGAGCTGTGAGTCGCTCTCTGAACCCCAGCTGATATTTACAGCGCTTCCCTGGGGGAAAAACTCCCACATCCCCTTCACCCCAGAGAAAATGGAGTTTCCATTTTAGCTGCTTCGCAACGAAGTGAATTGGGAATTGACAATCAGAATTGGGAAACGTCCCCTTGTTTGCCCAGTAAATCTGTACTGAAAAGGTTTTTGGCAGTGCGTGGATGAAGCTGTTTCCCTGCAGTGCTTTACCCTTCTGGAAGGCAGCACTTGAATGTCCAGGGCTATTAGCTCAGCAGCTGTCAGAAGTATTAAATTCACCAAGCATATGGATACAAAGAAGTCATATAATAAAAGGAAGGATGCCATGATCAGAGTAACTTGAATTCTCACCATTTCCCTGGGTTATTTTCTCATTAATTGTGTTTATTGATCTAGCTCAGCTAAAGATTAGTGTGGGACTTTGTTTAATGCAGTGTGCAACCATTACTGAGCTGCCATGGGAGGCTGTCAGACAGACCTGGATTGTAGTGAATTGTTTGCAGCGACTTAAAACAACTCTTCTGAGAAGTCTGAATCTTTTTTTTTTCCTAAGATGGTGCCCATTCTATGAAGAAAACCCTAACCTTCAAGTTTCTCTATGAAAGTCCCCTTCTAATTTAGAAGAACTCAAGCAGGAAGCGATGAGAATGACAAAATCTCTCTCCTGTGTGGGGCTGTAAGCGTGTAATTTAGAAATGTGAAATGAAGAAACCACTCACAGACCATTTTTCGGTGTGGTTTTTCTTTGAGGTCTAAAAACAGATGTGCCTATTCCTCAGTGGGAGCACTGACGTTGTTTCTCTCTTCTATCTGGCCACATATTTCACAAGGCTTTGGGAATACAGCACTTCTGAGATTCTGAACCAGATGCTTTTCTTTTCGAAGGTAAATCCAAACAAAGATACAGACGTATGGATTGCCATTACAGAAACATTCGCTTGGAATACTGGGCTGAAAACTCATTGCATTTCCCATGCAAGCACTGCCCAAGACATCACTGCTGTATGCCATAACCCTGACATCAGTTGCTGCTACTGCTGCTGCTGCTCCAGCAAGTATTTCTTGGCTTCAGGATCAACTGTTCAACAGGAGCTGTTGACTTCACAGGGGAACACAGTAAATCAGTTGGTGGAAGCAACAGTAACTTCTGTTTATGCACTGCCTTTCACTCGAAGGTATCCATAACCTGACAAGCAGCAATGGCAGCGTGAGGGCAGGAAGAATAGCTGGGGAACATGCAGCAAAACCTTCCGTTGTTGTTTAGTACACCTAGGACTAAAGGATCTCCACATGTTTTCACTTAACTGAGTGCTACATTGCCCATGGCTTCAGCAACCATCCTCCCTATTTACATCGTGGGAAACTGAAGCATGCAGAGGTTGAGCTGCCAGCGATTGCCCAATCATTGCTCAGCAGCTGACCCAGTAATAGCATCTTGAACACCTGACTGCCCGTCCTGTGACCTGTCCTTAAGATAATGCTTCTGAGAATGGAGCTGCCAGAGGTGCTGGGCACACTGATATCGTTTGGCTGGACCGTGGCCAAAGCAGAGAGAACAACTGCTCCTTGTAAAAGTGCCATAGCGTTTTTGGTGTCCCCTGGCACTCGTGGCCACAGCTGGGCTTCAGATCGAATAATACTTCATTACAAGGACAGCTTGCTGAAGAAATACCATGCCTTCTTTCATTAAGAGAGGGCACAGCTCTCGGCTCCAAAGCAGAAGGATGCAAAACAGTTCCTGAGTCACTGCCATCAGCATTTTCTGCTGTGCATGGGGCTTCCCAGATGAGCCCTGTGCCTGTCCGTGGTTCAGCTTATCCTGCAGTTTCTGGTGAGATCAAAGCCCAGACAGAAAGGGAGAAGATGGAGAATTCTAAAAGCGGGACAAGAAAAACTATTTTCCAGCTTAAAACACCAAGAAAATAATGTCTGGGATGAAAACAATATTTACATCACAAAAAAACGAAGCAAAATTCTTTGGTCTTTCCATTGAGATCTTCCAAGTGTCCTGCCTCCAAGGATGCTTGTTGCAAAGCAGAAATCCCACTGCAGGCTTATGGCAAATAAACGAGCTGCAATTATTCTGTGTTGCAAACAGGAC